GGGTTCAGAGGGAGCCCCCTTAGAAAGTCCATTGATTTCTCACCCAGTTCAAAACATTTTATTTCTCTCTCTGTGCATCCTCAGGTTTATTTCCACCCTGTGTCGTGTTGAAGTGCCGGGCTCAGAGCGAGCCCCTTGGAAAGTCCATTATTTCTCACCCAGTTTAAAACATTTTATTTCTCCATCTGTGTATGTCCTCAGGTTTATTTCCACCCCGTGTTGTGCTGAAGTGCTGGGCCAGGTTTATTTCCACTCTGTGTGGTGTTGAAGCGTCGGGCTCAGAGCAAGCCCCCTTGGAAAGTCCATTGATTTCTCACCCAGTTTAAAACACTTTATTTCTCTCTCTGTGCATCCTCAGGTTTATTTCCACTCTGTGTGGTGTTGAAGCGTCGGGCTCAGAGCGAGCCCCCTTAGAAAGTCCGTTGATTTCTCACCCAGTTTAAAACATTTTATTTCTCCATCTGCATGTGTGTCCTCAGGTGTATTTCCACCCTGCGTCGTGCTGAAGCACCGCGCTCAGAGCAAGCCCCCTGCCCAGTCTCCTGTGAGTAACCATGAGGCGCCTGATCTCCAGCCGCGTTTCCAACCTGGAGGCCCCGGGGCATTCCTGGCTTTTCCAGTGACGAGGGCGCAGGAGCGGGAAGAGCGCCATGGCCGAGAAGTGCGAGTGCCTGGCCAGCATGTACGGCTACGACCTGGGCTGCCGCTTCGTCAACTTCCGCCCGCTGGGCTTCGGGGCCAACGGGCTGGTGCTGTCGGCGCTGGACAGCCGCAGCTGCCGAAAGGTGGCCGTCAAGAAGCTGACGCTGGGCGACGCGCGCAGCGTGAAGCACGCCTTCCGCGAGATCAAGATCATCCGCCGCCTCGAGCACGACAACATCGTCAAGGTCTACGAGGTGCTGGGCCCCAAGGGCGCCCGCCTGCGCGGGGACTTCTTCAAGTTCAACGTGGTGTACATCGTGCAGGAGTACATGGAGACGGACCTGGCGCGGCTGCTGGAGCAGGGCAAGCTGGCCGAGGAGCACGCCAAGCTCTTCATGTACCAGCTGCTGCGCGGGCTCAAGTACATCCACTCGGCCAACGTGCTGCACCGCGACCTCAAGCCGGCCAACATCTTCATCAGCACTGAGGACCTGGTGCTGAAGATCGGCGACTTCGGCCTGGCCAGGATCGTGGATCAGCACTACTCGCACAAGGTGGGCAGCGCGGGGCTGGCCGGTGCAGGGGGGCAGGACTTGCGGGGTGATGTGGCTGGGCTGTGATGGATCCTCCAGGGGAACTGGTCCTGCAGCCTCTTTGGGCAGCTGTGAGCCCTGCTGGGTGATCACTGCTGGTGGCTGCTCTGCCCCAAGCTGTGACACACATCCAGGGAGTCACGGTTTGGGTGGGAAGGGACCTCTAAACTCATTCAGTCCAACGCCCCAGCAACGAGCAGGGACACTTTCCACTGGAAGGGGTTGCTCAGAGCCCTGTCCAGCCTGACATTCTGTGCTTTCTGGGCACAGCCCATGCACTGAGCTCTGCAGAGTCCCCAGGGCTCTGCAGAGAGGACACAGGAAGGGTTTGAGTGCCCCTCATCTGCCTTGCATTGCTTTATACTGTGTGTATCAAACACACACTCAGGTACTTTGCTCTGTCTCAGCAGTGGACTGTGGGGAGGCGTGTGTTTGCTTGCTTCACCCAAATGACTAAGCTCTGTGTTTCTTGCTCTGCTGCTGCTAAAAAGCACAAGCTGCTGGGAGCACATGGAGAGGGGACCTGGCATGTCCACCCCCACTCTGCTGGGCTCTGTCCTCACTTTGGTGCCAGTCAGCTTCTTAAAAACCCGATTTCATTTGAATTACATTCATTTAGCATAGGGGGAGAGGAGTGGGTCTTTGAGGCTCAGCCAGATCCTTTATCTGAGGTCTGGATCCAAATGACACATGGAGTTCTCTGCTGTTTGGCACTCAGTGTATCAGGGAGGAACAATAACGTGAGTGGCTGGGCTGTACAAGGGAGGGAGGGAGGGATAATGGGTGAGAAGGCTCTGTGACACACAGCCCTGGTGCCAATGGGTCCTGAGCACAGCTGCAGATGAGAAGTGCAGGTTGCCTTCCAGGCTGGAGCTCCTGAGCAGTGCAGGAACATGGAGGAGAATCCATCAGCCCGTGGCTCCGCGTGTTCCTGGGAGAAGACAAAGCCACGGTGTGGTCTGCAGCTGGCTTCTGGTTAAGGCCCCTGTTTGGTGTGGTGAGATGAGATAGAATCTGTTTTCTAGAGCTGGATGTGTCCACGGGCCCCATGGATCTGTTGATGTACAGCAGATTTAACAGGTTTAAATGCACTTTGCATTTACCAGTGGGCTCCTGCCCATCATTCTGGGAGGGGAGGCATGGAGGGGGAGGCAGCAGAGGATGGCAAAAAGACAATCTTGGGATCTTGAGCTGAGTTATTCTGGATATCAGTCTGGGCTGTGGGGAGAAACAGAGCCTGGGGAGAAGGAATGAGGCTGCAGGAAGCAAGCACAGAGTCCCTGTCACTCTGCCTGCCCTTTCTCTGCTCCCTTCCTCACTCATTATTTATGGCCCAGCTCAGGAAGAGGCTCCCGGCTCTTCAAACGTGTGATTTGTTTGTTTAAAGTCAGGTAACTCCCAGAGAAAACCCCTGCAAACGAGGCAGGCTACATGAACACAGAAAGTCTCTGATTTAAGGAACATCGTGCTGTCAAGGACTGTGGGATCAGGGTAGGAGTCATCTGTTTGTGTCTGCTGCAGAATTATTGTTATTTCTAAGCAATTCCCTGTTGCCTCAATAACAGCCAGTGCAGTGGAAGGAGCTGTCAAGGGCTGCAGCTTCATGGTGGTGTTTAATTCTGCCAGATGCCACTGTATCTCCAGCTCCTCGTGGGTGGGAGGCTGGAGCATCAGTGCAAAGAAGCCCATCAGAGTGTGCAGAGAGAGCTGGGTGCTGCTCGGGAAGCAGCAGGTAACGCCAGCTCCTGGGGCTCCCTGGCCGTGCCGGGGCTGGGTTTGCCAGGGCTGGTGCCAGGGCCCGCAGAGGCAGGGCTGCAGCAGGATGGGCTGTGGGTCAGCCCTGCCTTTGATGTCCAGCACTTCAGAGATGGCTCGGAGAAATCAATTCCTTTCCCTGCTTCTCTTTCAAGCTGCTCTCTCCCGCAAGGCTCCCTCAGGCTGATGAGCTCCGTGCTCTGGCAGAAGGCAGCAGCAGTGGAGCATCCCGAGTCTGAGGCTCTGAGGCCTCCACCCCAGGGCCCCCCTGATGCCCTAGGATTTTATCTTTTATATTTTTCAAACACTGCTTTAGTGCATTGCTCTAAACTCCATACGGAGTGTCAGGTGCTGGCTTCACATTTTGGGCAGGCAGAGCAATCCCTCTGGGCCTGAGATCCAAGGATACCCTGCAGGCTGAGGCCCTGAAAAGTATAAACAAAAGTAAACTGGGGGGAGCAAACTAGGGGTGTGTGATGCTTTATTACCTGAAGCTGTATTGGAGGCTTAACCCCTGATACGGAAATAGAACTTAAAGTTGTGTGAAAAACTTGTGACCATCATCCACCTTGGGTGAGGCCTCTGGGAGGCTTTGGCTGCCCAAGGTGTAGCTATTGAGGGCCTTTAATAAACCCCCACTTTATTCTCTCAGTCTTGTCTAGCCTCTGTTCCAGGCAGCCATGGCCTGAGCAGAGCAGGGACCCTGACAGCCCAGATCTGGTGATGCCAGCCCGTGCTCGGGCAGAGGTGCCCACGAGCCAATGGAATCCTGCACCCTTTGGGCAATTAACCACCCCAAAGACCCAGCAGATCCACACCTCTGTCTAAACCAGCTGCAGCTCTGTCCTCATGGTTTCCTGAGAGCCTTTCCTGACAGCTCTTTGTTGCCTTGAGCACGTGGATTTTTTTCCTCTTAGCATGTTTTACGCATCTGGAATATGCTTACACTAATGGCAGGGCTCTGCTGACACAAACAATTGCAGGCTGTGGTGTTATTTGTCTCAAAGGTCACATCTCTTCTGACCTGATGTTTCTCAAACCCCAAACCGTCCTGCTGAGTGTTAAAATGGCAAATATGAGCCACGCTGGACTGTGAGCAGAATTTTAAACACAGCTTAGAATACACATACCACTGACAAAGAGCCCTTGCCTGGCAAGATGTCTTGTTTATGTGACTTTCCTCAGCCAAACGTTGAGTTGGGATAACGTGGTGGGAAGGGGAGAGCTCCCCAGCCCTGGGGGATGCTGAATTGGGATAACGTGGTGAGAAGGGGAGAGCTCCCCATCCCTGGGGAATGATGAATTGGGATAACGTGTTGGGAATGGGAGAGCTCCCCAGCCCTGGGGAATGCTGAGCTGGGATAACGTGGTGAGGAGGGGTGCCCTGGGGGTGCCCTGAGGCACAGCGAGGAGCTGGCCTCCCCAGCAATGAAGCAGAGCACCTTTGGCTCTGTCTCTCCCACCGTTTGTCTGTTTTTGCTGCTCATACCTTTCTCCATGTAGTAAGAGCAGCATTGGGACATCTCTTTGTCTGAAACTTCTCCAGAGCAAACAAAAAGGATTTCCAGCTGCCAAGGTCGCATCCAGATCCCGGTCTGCACCTTCCCAGGCTGCTCAGGCCTGACAAGTTGAGCCCTGTCTCAGAGTAAGGTGAGGTGGGGTTCTGGGCTCAGGTGCCTGCAGACATCTCTTTAGGGCACAGAGTAGCAGGTGTAGCAGGAGAGAACCCTCAGGATTTGATCCTGTTCATCCATGATTCTCTCTCATCCTGTCCCTTCTCCAAAGCTCTCACCACCCAGCTGTGCTGCAGGCTCCTCTCTCTTCCACCACACTGCTCTTTATCCATGGGAGTTTATCCCTCTGGAACGTCTCCACATTATTGCCTTTCTCCTTGGCTCTGCTGTTTGTGGTTTGAACGCTTGGCCCCACACCTCGGTGCCCAAATGGTGAGCGAAGGGGGGTGGAGGTGAAGAAAGGAGCATTCCCAGCCTCCAGGAGGTCCTTATCCTTGTGCAGGACAGGCAAAGCTGGACTTTTGCTGCTCCCAACCCTTCCACCCCATGGGGAATGCATTCGTCCCACCTTCCCCACTGGAATCCTCTGCATGCTCCCTCTGTCTGCAGCTGTGGGGCCCTGCCTGCCCCCATGGCCCTGTCCCTGCCCGTGTGTCTGCAGAGGCTCTGGGCCTGCTGCCCATCTCCCATCCATGTCCATCCATCCATCCATCCATCCATCCATCCATCCATCATCCATCATCCATCCATCCATCCATCCATCCATCCATCATCCATCATCCATCCATCCATCCATCCATCCATCCATCCATCCATCCATCATCCATCCATCCATCCATCCATCCTTCCATCCATCCATCATCCATCCATCCATCATCCATCCATCCATCCATCCATCCATCCATCCATCCATCATCCATCCATCCATCCATCCATCCATCCATCATCCATCCATCCATCCATCCATCCATCCATCATCCATCCATCACCCATCCATCCATCCATCCATCCACCCATCCATCCATCCATCCATCCATCCATCCATCCATCATCCATCCATCCATCCATCCATCCATCCATCCATCCATCCATCATCCATCCCTCACCCATCCATCCATCCATCCATCCATCCATCCATCCATCCATCCATCCATCCATCATCCATCCATCCATCCATCATCCATCATCCATCCATCCATCCATCATCCATCCATCCATCCATGCATCCATCCATCCATCATCCATCCATCCCCACCATTCCTGCCCGGATAATCGCCCTGGGCTCCCCGGGAGAGCTCACCTCCCTGTGTGCCCGGTCTGGCAGGGCAGCGCTGTACAAGGGAGGTGCTCTTGCTCTGCTCTCCTCCCCTCATCTCCCTCGCCTTGTGGCAGAGCAGGGACACCGCAGAGTCACGCATTAAATGTTGTCATCAACGCCCGTGGAGCTCGGGAATGTAAAATCATCAATGTTTGTAGGGCAGGCTCATCCCCAGCTGTGCATCCCACATGGGGAGTTGGATCCCCAGCACCAGGGGCGGTCCTGTCTGGGAAGGACAGCAGATTGCTGCTGATGGGGACACAGAGACTCGCTGAATGTCATCCCTGGGTGACACAACCATGGACCAAAATAATCCTCACCCTCCCTGTGTTGTGCAAAAGAGATTGTCCCTTCTGAGTGCTCCAAAGCACCTG